ATTTTATTTTACACGTTTTCTTGTCATTTGTTTGCCAGTTGACAAATGGGTGAGTGTGTTGACAGTTTTGTCAACACTTCAAACGGCACATAGCCGCTTTAATAGCGCAATTGTCACGACACTTAATTTGATGAGCGAGCAATGGTTTGAGTTTTAATTAAAATACTTTTGGCGGACATTGCTGCGTGGCAAGCGATTTTCACTTTGATGTGCGGCAAATACATAGGTATGTAGGTGGTAATAAAAAAATACATATTTAAATGCATGCACATATCCGCCATCACTTAAAAATATATAAATGCTGCGTATTTCTATTTGTATAAAAAAAATAAATTTATAACAAAAATTGTCCACAATTTTCTTGCAAATATTTCTCTTTTCCAATTTCGTTAGCTCTACTGTGCCATTGTTCTGCAAATTATTTCATAAACTTTGTTCAGTTGCTACAACTCGTCTCCTTTTTCCTAATAAAAGATGTTGATTGATATAGAATAATAATAGAATATAGAAAGAAATCCCATAGTTAATTTAGTTAGTCTGCTGAATATTTTTTACCAAATAAATGCCGTTTCCTTGAAAGAATTCTTGCAAATTTATGTTATACAAATGTATGAATTTAACTTTTATGTCCAATAATAAATTAAGACAAGCTATTTGACATATGTATATACAATGCTATTTCCTTTGTCATTATTTATACATACATGCATATATTATATATCCACATATGTGTTTATAAATATATATCATATATCGATAAATATGTAACTTCTGGCAAACTCCATATGCTTTTTGTTTGAATTTGCATAAAAATCCGTATATATATATATATATATATATATATAAGAGTACATAAATATGCACAGCACATATAATATCTATATACTCGTACACCACGCAATATTTTTTCTCTGTAGTCAGCGCTGTTTATTAAGTGCGATTAAATGGATTTATTGACTCATTGTGCCCTGCAATTAGTCGCATTTGGCCAGCAAAATAATTGTATACAATTTATATATACCTGTATATACACTGCTGCTATATGTTTTTTCGAAATTGCGGATTGTTTACAATACCGTTGTCGAAAATTCCATTGTTTGGCTCACACTTTGGTGTGCTGGAATGAGTAGTTTAACTGATCAATCGAACAGCCAAATGGCCGCAAATGATTCGTGGCTACTGTTTGAGTGCTTAGGCGAAATATATAGTATGGTGTGTTGTTTTATATTTGATCAAATCTAATTTTTTCCAAAAAAATAAAAGCAAAATTTTTTAAAAATAATTTTTTACTATGAAATTTGTTTGTTGGCCAATTTTGCGAATTTAAGTTTCTAAATTTCATAAACTTTAACATTTTTCCGGTTCTCTTAAGTTTCTCTCAGCATATTACTCTAGGTGAAATAGCTCAAAATTTTAATTTTTCTTCATATTTCTTATCGACTAAAGTTTTCTTAAAGCACATCGCTAACTTTAATCTCCTTCCTCGTAACGTTCTTGTTAGTGGCGTGTGAAGTAGAAAATCCGGGTATTACCAGCATTTATCTGACAGATGAGTGAGCGCTTAAAGTGATTTTTTTACTCCACTGCGCTAAAGTAGAGATAAAAAAATAGCGAGAAAAGTATAAAAAGAGTTAAAGCTGTGGCGGAAGGTATAAGAGACTAGTAAGAAAATTAAAAAAAGTATCTTAAATTCCAGCTGAAAAAGAGTTCTAACTATATACTAGAAGCGACGGTTTGAAACAGAAGTACCCTTGTGCTGAGTTTCATCCCCCCGTGTTTTTTTTATAATATTTTGTTTTGCGATTTCTAGTTCGTAGAAGAGATTTCAAATTCAAATTGCAAAACTTACTTTAAAGCACTCACTTTGTTTAACTTACCCCACTAGTACGAAAATGAAGCTAAAATCGATTAGTCGCAAATAAAAAATACATCAATCGATTGAATAAAACTGTGTACTGTAAAATTTATAAATGAATATATGAATAATAATTAAGTTTTTGCTATTATATTAATCGCTATTTTAGTCGATTATAAATTAATCGTTTGGGAAAATATTGCCGAAATTTATCGATTATAAAAAGCTATCGAAATAACATATTGTTAACGATACCAATAACATTACGTCAAAAATTAATTTATCGATTATTTCAACGCAGAAAATGAAACTCTTATTGGTCCATTCATTAATCGATTAACAAATACCACAATGATATAAAAAAGATTGATTACTTCATTAACAAAAAAATATTGATTATTAATCGAATCGAAGAACAATCGATTATTTTGATGCTAAAATAAAACTTCTGTTAACACTGCATATAAAAAAAAATCGCTTATTTTATTGATATCGATATGAAGGTAAATAATTTAAAAAAACATATCGATTATTTTATTGATAAAAAACACGTTTGAAACTAAATGAAGACAAAATTGATTAAAACACGAATCCTAAGAGCTAAGTAAAAAATTAATTGTCTAGTAAGGATAGAAACAGGAATAATATCAAACACGAGAATAACATTAATTTATAATTACAATAACCTGTAAATAATCGGTTTTTGATGTATAAGAGCTTTAATGATAAGAAATGAAGAAAAATGTAGACGATAAGAGATTTTGGCGATTATGATATCGATAAAGTATAGTATCGATAGTAAACGCCTATAAGGGAATCGAGTTTGGATTTTGGATTGTATGTCTTCGTCATAATTGCTCGTCTATCATATTATTTTTTCCTCCCACGTCTTTCTAGAGTTTGAAATCTTGTTAGAATTTTAATATTATTATCTAACATCTTTTAGGTTACCATTCAGAATATATCAGACAGAGGCACTTTGCAATACAATATTTTTCAAAAATTAGTCCTTACTCCCTTTCCCGCTTTCATATTGTGTATACACAGCATAAGAAATACTTCAAACACTGAGAACACTGGCTGCTATCATGTCGCACATAAGCTGAAGTGCGTCCTCAGACTGTCAAGTAGACAAGCAACTATCAGCGCGGCTATTCTTGCAACCCACGAGTGTATGCTTGTTCGCACCGCAGCACTTGTTGTTGTCGGTTGCATAGCCAACTTTGCAAGCTCGCGAGCTCTCGTCTAAAACTTGTCTACGAGATAAATCGCCTGATTACTTCCACCGGAAATCAACTCACAAATAGAAAAGGACACAGACAGCGGCGCTACACAGGCACGTAGCCGACTGAACTGTGTGGCTGGAATAGACAAGCGGTCGCATTTTGTTAGCACATTTATTTATTTATAAACTCGCGCTCCACCGTCGTCCAACAGGTTTGAACGCGTATTTGTTGTTTGTGGTTGAGGCAGCAACAGCTCAGCGCTCAGTAACGTCTTAACTCGATTTGTGTGCGTCTCAACGAGCTAAAAGATAACTCGCCTAGTCGTGCCATTGCCATTTAATGTGACAATAATGTGCAGCGAAAGGGAAACAAAATGGCATTGCAAATGGCAGTGACAGTTGAAAATGAGCAATAACGGCGTTTTTGCAGGCACAGGAGTCCATTACATAAGTCTAGTAAGTGGTGAAATACCCAAAAAGCGAACTTCATGGAAATGAGGTAATGCGCTAATGAAAATAAATTCGTCATGCGCGTGCAGTACGTGGCACGGGCATAAAGGCGACGTTTAGGTGAGGGGAGAAACTTAAAATAATATCTTTAAACCGAACGGAATTGAAGACAAACTTTAAAATGACAGCTTGTCGGAGATTAGAGAAAGTAGTGGTCAGTATGACGCAAGTCTGTTTTTATAACTGCAGTGCAGCTGTCAAAGCGTGGAAATAAAGATGGGTGGATATTTCTGAGGACGCAATTCATGTGGCACGTTGAGATAGGAGAAGCATCTAACAATTACTTCAAAAGTTGGGTATCTCACCGTGCTCTTCTAAGAACAATTTTTGGTGGCAGCTAACAGATATTACAACTTTTGAATTATAAATATTTTAGATCTTATATAGAACAGAATTTTAAGATCTCTCATTAAAAGTTGCCCCAAAGCAACTAAAATCTCTAAAAAGTTTAAGGTATGAGTTTTACCGGAAACATTAACTCAGCTCAGCTTTTGGAATAATTTTATTTTATATACAAACATAGTTAAAAAGAGAGCAACAATAAGAATACATCAGCCGGTTTCGAATCCTAAAGCAGAAAGGGATTTGGGGAAAATCGAAGTTAGTTCTATTCTAAATTTAAATGTAGTATATGTATCTTGATCCAAATCCAGATCACAATTCAGAAATACCTGTATTCAACTGTTTTCGACGAACAATGAGCTAATAAACGAGAACTGAAAAAATCTTGTTTTTAATAAAGTTTTACATGGCCAGAAGAGCACTGCGACGGCTAGCCTACATGCTTCCACCCATATATGAAAGCGAAAGTTGTCTTGTTCACCTCAGAAGTATCGAATTTCACCGAAGGCGCTCACTTGAGAAAACTTTCGTCACAGAGAAGCTACCACCTTGTGAGTATGTGGTTCTAACTGTCGGGTAGACGCCTGTTTTGACAATTTTCACGAAAAATTCGTTTTAAAGAGAATTGATCAGGAAGTACTTATGTAATAGGTTAAACTCCTATTAGTTAAGTGAGATCCTCATACACATGTATACCTTAAATATTTTCTATAGAAGATGACTTACTTTAAGAACCCGTTAAACCGGGATCCAAATGGCGGCCTGAACTAAGCTTGTTACATGTTTGGTAATAGAGGTTTCAGAAGACATTAAATACAGAGCTTCAAAAGAACTTCCTTTCAAAGTAACCGTTTAATAGCTCTTATTTCATCCGTTCGATTTGTTGGAGGGACGACACTTTCTAAGAGTACCGTTAGATACTTTGTATAAATCAAATTTGATTCTAAGACTTTAAGTTTTCTACAAGCCAAGATTTCTAAAAAGCTTTGAATATAAGATTACTAATAAAATAAAAAAAGATCTAGATTATAAAATATTTATGAGTTATTTCTTTTTTTTTATTTACAGAATCTGCTCAAACTCTCAGTTTCAAACACTGGTACGGCAGTAAGCAATAACTTCCAGCGATAACTTCTAGCGATAGGTAAGCGGAGTATTATATAATTTGGATATTTGTATATCGAAAATATGAAAATTAAGTTATCTTGGAGACATCAGGCTCAAAAACTTGTCAAAATTAGTCTGATGGTTCGAATTCGGGAATAAATCTCTTTAAAACCGTTTTCAATTAACTTTTAACTCACTCTCTTACGAACAAATGACTTTCATATTTTCTCACGAATGATACAAATCTGTTTGCAATTTACCACCGTGTCGAGATGTCTCTGGGCTCAGGTTGTTGCAGCGAAAAATTTATGCGTAACATGCGGCTTAAAAGTAGCAACAGGCCGACAAAAAAAAAAATATGCAATCAAGCCAACTGCCAAAACAGAATTAACCAAGCTCACATGTAGAAAGCGAGAAGAAAAGAAAAGGAAATCGAAATGTGAATGATGAAAAAAGTAGAAGAAGGCTTATAGGAAACACTGAAGGTGAAATTGAAAATTAGTGGTTGTGCAGGGAAGACGACGTGCTGCTAAACAAACCGCTGACGAAAAAAATCGGAATGAAAGGCCAATGAGTTTTCGTGCACTCCTCTGAAGCTCACCTTTTGCTCCCACGCCGCTATTTGTAACCGCGTAGCCCGGGCACAGCTTTGTAGAATGCTAAATTACAGAACATTTTTCAAAATGAAAACAAAAAAGGAGCATAAAAATAAGAGTATTACAGCGGTACGGTGGAGTAAGGAAGAGATGAAGAAGCTGAAAATAAGGTACGCCTTTCTGGCGAACGAAGGTAAGCTGTGAATGCAGCAAAACGGCGCAACAAAATGATGAATAACGGGTCACGTGTGAAATATAGGCGACTAAATGGGTTATAAGGGAGGGTAAAATGCGGTGTGGTACTTAAACTGTACACAAGGAGAAGGTAGCTGTGGTTTTGTGAAGAAGTAGAACGAGTAGTGCAAAGGAAGCGAAAAGGAATGAAAAATAAAAATATGAACAGGGCTTGGATATAATTTTGTAAAGTAAAAATGAATGAATTGAAGTATGAAATAGAAAAATTTTGAGTATAAAAAGCAATAAAAATAATAATTGAAAATAAAACTAAAAGAAAAGTGTGAAAAAGCAGTGAACTATATAAAGGAAATAAAACAATACAATCTTCTTGGGCACAAGAATTCGACCAATCGATAATAAGATCAAGATATTTAGATTCTAGATAATTTCCGATTTTTCGGTGTATATTTGTTACCATAAAAATGGCTCTGCAGCTATCTCTATTTATGACTGAGAGTCCAATAATTAATAAGAATGTGCGATTTAGTCGATCGACTGGTTCTATATATAAGGATAGACTTAAATGACCACTTTTAATGGAAGATCATAGTTAGTTCATTTTGTATTTTTTCCTTAGTGCCGAACAACTCTCCTCAAGATCCAACAGAGTTCTGATAACCTTTTTGGCTCGAGGTTATAATATAATAGGCACATAGCTACCGGGATTTGGATCTCCAGCTCTCTGAAATTACAAAGACCCGAAGAAAATACTATGTATATCTATACATTCAAAACATGCAGAAGCCTAAGTTCTTTAGCTACGGAAAGCTTTAGTCCTTTAGTTCCTTATTCGCCAGGTGAAGTATTTTCCTCGATAAATTCGGTGTCTGAAAACTTTTAACTTCCAAAAATATGTGTTTTTGTCTATCTGGTTAAAAATTATTGAAAACAATCGAATTATTTTATACTCTTGATTTTGTCACAACCTTAAACTACAAGGTTGATAGCTGAATGTTTTTTGGTGATTCAGACGCTGTTTTTTCTAAAATTCCTAAGCGATTTGGTACCAAGTAGCATGGAGAAGTATTTTGAAAAGACTAATTCGAAAACAGATTTATTCTACTTAAGGGTTGAAGTCATAATTTTTGTATTTTGAAAATATGTGGCCTCCAGCACGTATGCCAAAAACTATTTGAAAAACTTTCAGCTGCTACAAAAACTACAATAACAAGCGCTTTGCTTACGCACATGTGTTTTTTTTTATTTTTGTTGTTTCTGTTTTTGAATTCGCTAGTTAAGAGCAGGCCTTAAGCCTTTTGCAAATTTGTATAATTTTTTTTTTTGCAATTTTCTATTTCTCTCCACTTTGCAATAACTCAATGCATTTGCAATCTTATCGAGCTGCAAAGAGCTCAGATATCAGCAGAAACCATTTCGAAAATTAAAATTTCTTAGAAATGCACAAATTCAAAGTGAATTTTTTTTTTCGAAAATCACTATTGTCGTACAATAAAATGACATTGGCGTACATTCGTGTGTATGGCACTGCTGATGCCCAGTCTGCCAGTCTGCCCGATAAGTTAATTGACTTGCACATGAAAGCCCATAAACAGATGAATGCACGCTGCTACAGGCGGGGTTTGTTTTGAAAAGATGAAAAAAAAATTAGTTCAAATAAACGAATGCATTGTACGCAGGCTAATATTCACATTTGTGTTTGTGAGTCGTGTGTGCTGCGTATTTACGCAAAAAGCTTTTAAAATCGGCCTGCATTCGGCCTGGCATTGGTAGCGATCGACAAGTGGCCATGCAGGTCTTTAGCGTGTGTGCAAAGAAAGTGAAAAAAATCAAATTAAAAGTCTTTGCAAATACGAGGGTGATTTGATGAGTCAATATCTTTTTTATTTAAAAAAAAAATTTAGATTTTTCTTTGTATGGATTCAAAGATAAAATCTTTCCAAGATCGTCTTAGATCCAAAACAGACAGTTATTCCAGTGATCTCCTCTTCAAGTACTATTTTTATATCCACTTTATATTGATGAATACAATTTAGGATCTTATAAGTTTTACGGCATCTCCAGACTGCTGATAAGTTGTAGCAAGGCTTTTTAAATTCAAAATACTGGAGGAAGTGTTACATGGCTGCCGAGGTAGTGCCAACGTAGCAGAAAATTTGTTTCGATCATTTTTGAGCCCACGTCACTTTATGATATCTTGCGCTTGTCCTACTCTGTTTTGGTGACTGGCAGCTTTGGAAACATCATAATAGTTACAAATTAAGGTCATATCTATTTTTTACGATGATCATTGGTTGACATTTATCTCGTGAAATACATGGATCTGACTATGCATTAGCTTCCAAGGCATTGTTAGAGATATTTTCATGCTGTCTACGGCTTTGGAACCGCCATAAAATTTGATACAGATATTTTCTGTAAAGTACACATTAAAGAGGGGATCTGTATCAGATTTTTGAGTGTTCCATAGCCATAGACAACATGATCGAATTTGTGGGACCGCGCGATCTTAGATCGTTAACACAAGTTTTTCTAGACGCCTACCACCTATTCTACCTAACCCACAAACACTTTACGATTTTATTGATCTCTTTTCGAGAACTTTATTATTTTTGTTATTTTCAAATAACAGTGATCCACGGTCAGAGTATATTCAATCCGCTTAGCCGTATGCGTGGTCGAAATGTCTCGGATCTTGAATTGTTTGCATCAACTTTTACATGGTTTTACTGTCTTAGCTTTCATAGACACTCGAAGACTGTGGTTGTGCCAAGCTGATGCTCGGAAACTCCTACAGCGTAAGTGTTTAGCCTTGTCATTCAGACATCTGTTTAATTGTAAAATATTGAAGTTTCTACGGGATTGCCGAAAATAAACATTGTCGTACTTTTGGGTATCATCAGTGAGAGCCTAGATTATTTTTAATATCCCACTCTATCGATACTCTATAAATAACATTGAGGTAGAATCTCATCTACATTTTCTGTTCAGCATATTTTGAGTCGCCGAAGAAATAGCGTGTACCAGCATATATTCAGAACTCACTACAACTTAAACTCTACCACTAATTGAGGTTATGTCATTATCAATATAACCTAACGTTCTAACCTATACACAACTAGCTGATCATATCTTCATACATATAAGAACTTTATATATATATAAATAAGAGTATATTCAGTCGATCGCTCACTTGGAGTGGTTTGATAAGCCACTAGTGTATTTTGGATTTGTTTATTTACCCAAAGAAACGCGGTTGTGCGTATTTTTTCGGTGCGAGCTATAAAGTTTGTGTGTTATAAAACACATTTTCATGTATAGATATTAATGGGTATTTAAATATTGATTTTGAAGATTATTTTCAATGCACGAAACAATGGGAAGTAACTAATAAATCCACAACGCTTTTTGGCATATTGACTTATTTACGCAAGTATTTAGAAAACTCACATTGATTGAATGACTGATGACTTGTTGAAGGTCACTGTGTTCATCAATAAGCTAAACGTATTGGTGCTGTGCGTGAATAGATTAATTTGTGACTATTGAAAGTACCGCTACTTGCCAACGTATTGCGGAACCTAATTCTTTTGTGGCATATAATATGTTTATTGTGGCATCAGAAGTATGTGTTCTCTTTTTTTGGTCTAAACCGAAGCTAATTTCTATACCGAATGTCTCTGAAGAGAGAAACTTAGCGAAACAATCGAGATAACCAAGTTGCGAGTTTCAGCAACTATAGTCAAAATCAAAAACTAAAATAATTGGTATGGCGTAAAGCGTTGGTCGTAGTGCAATATATAAAGTTTTAGCCTCAAAATGTTTCAAGAATACCGATTTCCAGCGCTTGTGAGTGCATGAGTAAGGTTCTCAAAGGTCACTGACGCTGCTCAGTTACCTTCTTGATAAAGCTATTTGAATAGTCTAAAAGTCAATGTATCGATAACTTGTGTCTTCTAGTGTTCAAGTGTTCCACAAGTTCAATAGCTTATTTTTTGAAGACACAGCAAAAATTTTAACTAAATTTCGGTGTTAGTAACGAGCTCAATTAGCGCTAAACTGCGACATTTAGATATCGGAGTTAGTTAATCGATATAGAAGCACTTTGAACAAATAGTACTTCGTGAAATATGCTCTAGAGCTAATTTTTATTGTAACGTGTTACTATGAAAGTTGTGCCCTAAAGCGAAGAGTGTGACATTTCCATATTTGCCAAAACTTTTTGACCGATTTGCATATTATAAAT